CCCCGCCCCCGAAGATTATACCTGACGAAACCTGTGGTGCTTGATTAGAATCAACCCCATGCACCCAGGGATGATGATGATCACACACGTTCCCAGCCCAGTTCCCGCGCCTCATGCCCACCTGTACCCTTGTGGTTCCAGCTGCGATACTATGACTCAGGAGAGGACACGAGCTGCAAAGGCCACATCGACCTGGCTGAAGTGGAAATGGTCCTCCCCGCTGGCCCCAGCCTGGGGGCCCCCAAGCACACGAGTGACAAGGCTTTCTTTGATGTAAGTTGGTCTCCGCACTCTCCTGGCTCCACATACCTCTAGGGACTTGGGGAGAGGAGCAGGGAAGAGCTCAATGGCTGGTGCCTGCAAGCAGGTTACAGATCCTCTGGGAGTGAGCCTTACTGGCATTTCCAAGTATGGAAACACAGGGAGCTGCCTGGATTTGTGTGGAGTGTGGGAGGGGCCAGAGGCTTCAGCCACAGCCATTCTGGATGCCCTTCATCGGGGCAGGAAAGCCCAGGGCGTTGCAAAGTAGGCTCTGCCACCCAGTCAGCCCTTACTGAGTCTCTACGCGAGCAGACAGCCTCCTCCTCCTCCCACAGACGGTTCACTTATTAGCCATGGTCCACTGGGAGCCCTTGATGGCGGGGTGGCTACACATTGGGCTCCAGTCCACACGGGGGCAGTTGGAAACCACCAGCAGCTCCTCGGGAGAAAGACGGGGCTTTCTACTCCTGCAAACAGTGAAGATCTCGGGAACCCACGGGGGTGTCGCTCTGAGTCAGCACCGACACAAGGGCAGCTCGTTTGGGTTTTGCAGTGTTCTGTTAACATCCCCGGGCCTTTGGAGCTAGGCCCCTAGTGCTGCAGTGGTTTCACATCGGGCTGCAGTCACAGCCACCATGCAGGAATAAGAGGAGGCTTGTCAGTCCCGTAGTCTCGAGAACCCACAGGGCCACTTCTGCCGGCCTTGGACAGCTGGGAGTCAGAATTGACTTGGTGGCAGAGTTTTGGGGTTGGGACGAGAAAGGTAAGTGACTGCCTAGGCAGCCATCGTGAGGGGGTGGGGATGGGGGTGGGCAAGACGACAAAGATTCTAGAGCAGTACAGAAAGAGAAGACAAAGCGACTGGTTTGTACGATTACTCAAAGTCACACAACAGCCCTGCTCTTCAACTGTAGTAACCCAGTCCTTTGGTTCTGCAGCTCAAGACCAGCAAGCGTGTCTATAACTTCTGTGCCCAGGATGGACAAAGCGCCCAGCAATGGATGGACAGGATCCAGAACTGTATCTCAGATGCCTGATGCCCTTGGTCAGCCAGAGAAGGGAATGGGGTGCTGCCAGGGAGGAGAGGCCGGTGTGAGCCCTGGAGGATTCTGATGAGTCACCTCAGACTGAGGCTCCCCTGCCCTGTCTTCCTCAGCTCCCCTCTCCTTACCTGCATGGGTGTGTCAGATGAGCCAGGTCCCAGGAAGCTCAGGCACTCCCTGAACCTTGCCGTAGTACATTGTTCTCCTCGGGTCCCATCCCAGTGACTCCAGGTCAGAAGAATGCCTCTGAGCCACCTGTCATCCCTCCTCTGGGCAAAATGGCTACCACCCACCTGGGTCCTTCGTCAGGAAAGCAAGACTCTTCTTGTTCTCCATGGTCATTTCTTTGAAGAGCTTTGTGGCCAACAGACTAACCCTCCAAGCCCCCTGTACTCTCTGTAGGATGGGTTCCCCCATCAGAGGCACCCACCCTGCCTGCCTGCCCTTAGAGAGATGTTCTCTGGTGCTGTCAGAAATTGGTTCCCTAATCCCGCTGTGACTTGGTGCTCACGGGCAACAAAGGGGGATCCAGCAGGATTAACCGATGGAAAGAGATTGTCCAGGGAGCAGCATCCCCACAGCCAGGCCCATGCAGGCAAACTCAAGACTTCTCCAGATCAGGTGCTCTGCAGGGCGGGCCTGGGGGCCCAGTGTTGCCTGCTCCTCGCAGCGTCCTGCCCACAACAAGCACAGGGCTGGCCGCTCTAACCAACCAGACCACCACCTGCACCAGCACCTGCACTGAGCTCCTAACAAGGGAAGACATGGGAGACCGGCCAGGCCTCAGCCCACAGACACCTGCCACCAGGGCTGGTCCACTGCAGTCACCCTGACCTGAGCACAGGTGCACACCGGAGCCCCACTTCGGCCCAGGATGAGCAAGAACGGCCTTTGGCTTCCCCTCCTGCTCGCTCGGCTGAGGACGCGAGGGACTCCTGTTGCTGCCGGTGCACAAACAGCTTGCTGCGGCCACTGTGCCCACTGGGGTCACCGCAGCCTGGTGTCCAGATGTTCACATGTTACATATCAAACTATTGTCTCAAAATATGTACAGATGACTTCTAGGCCCTGGTTTTTCAGACTGTCTGCTTATAATTTAATATAAAATTAACTAAACTGATTCCTGTGACTTCACTAACAAACCTAGTCCCTTTTTAAAAAAATTAAAAACCCATTTTGTCTTTTTAGATTAAAAGTAAATCAGATTTTTTACATTTTAAATGATCGCACAGGAGACAGAGCTCTGTTACTGTATAAGGAGTTGGTGGAAAACAATGAAGGACTTCCTATCATTTTCTAGATCGCCACCTGTGAAAACGGTTTTTGCACATTGTATTTTTCTTTGTATATGAAATAACCTTTTTGTACTTTGTAAAATACGAGGCCACTGTATCTTCAGCAATTTGAGACTGTACACAGTGCTCCCTTTTGTGACTGGATCTTTTAACATTCTTGCAGGCGCTTCCTGCCTGCCCTTCACTAACCACTTGGAATTAAATTTATTTCTTAAGAAAAAACCTCCCTCATTTACTGTGCAATAGAAGCCCTGTGGTATCATGGTTAGGAGGTAGGCTGCAATCCGCATGGTCAGCAGTTCAAAACCACCAGCAGCTCCACGGGAGAAATACCAGACTTTCTACTCCTGTCAGCAGTTGTGAGACAGCCTTGATTCAATGGCAGTGAGTTTGGGTTGCTTTGGTTTAGAGCAATGGTTCTCAACCTGTGGGTCACGACCCCTTTGGGGGTTGAGCGACCCTTTCACAGAGGTCACCTGATTCATAACAGTAGCAAAATTACAGTTATGAAGTAGCAACAAAAATAATTTTATGGTTGGGGGTCACCACAACCTGAGGACCTCTATTACAGGGTTGTGCGCAGCCTTGGGAAGGTTGGGAACCAGTGCTGTAGAGTTCACACACACTGCACAGGTGAGCTGCCGGGTTCAGGGGGACACCTCGCACCTCCGCCTGGGCTCAGCCCTGGTTGTTCAGCGGGTCATCATCTCACCACTTTGGGTGTGTGACAATTTACGAAGATGCACCTTGTCCCGACAAGGTGAACTCTTGGTTAGCACCGCTGGTTCCGCTCAGGGAGGGTTAAACAGCACAAAGGAACCCTCAGCGGTTTCTCTTCTGGGAGACACTTCCTCTCTAAGTCCTGGGAGTTTACCTTGGACTTTGGCCACATCGAGTTGCATAGACAACAGGGAGTGTGAGTTCATCTCAGAGCTGTAGCCCCAACTCCTTGGCCATGCAAGAGCCTTCTCTGAACTAAGTCGGAGGCCCCCCCGCCCCCAAGGGCCAGAGAGACTCAAGATGAGGTCACTGCCACCCTGTCCTAGCAGTCAAGTCTCTTCTGTCTCATGGCCATCTCCACAGCTCACTGCGCATCAGGCCCTTTGACTGCCAGCACTGCTGCCTTACATACACACCCACTTGTCGCTCACCCACGTGGTTATCGGATTCCACTCGCGACACCAAAAAGAGGCAATATGCAAAACAAAACCAAAAAATGGAGGATGACTGTCATTACATAACTGCCAAGGCACCCTGAACCATCCCGGCCAGAGAGACTCTCCCTGCAGCTTGGCCTTCACGACGGCCAGGTGTGATCAGCAAGGTGCACAACAGGCAGCAGATACTTGACTGCTTCCTCACTGTGGTAACAAGGGTTGGTACGTGAGGAGCAGCGGCTCCTAGCAGCCACCCGAGCATTCCAGCTTTTCTGAGCTGTTTAATTAAAGCTCTTCCTCCACCATTTGCCAGGACAACGCAGGGATCCCCACCTTGCCCATCACTGCTTTCCAGCGAGTCTGCTCCCTTCCAAGGGGTGCTAGCCAGATGAGCAAGTCATGTGTCCCAAGACAGTGCCCCCAATTAAGTGGATTCTCAGTGGCCCCCTGAAGCAAACACTCAGAGTTCAGTCCCAGGAGTACTGCCCTGGCTCTGTCCAGCATGGGCGGCGGCGGAGAAGGGAGGGCGGGGAATTCTAAAATTCCATGGAAGGAATTCCATGGCCTTTCTGTGTCATTCTCCAGACTTTGACGCTCCCTTTATGCATGTTGTAAATGCATGCACATCTGTCTGCTCTTTGGGAATCTCATCTGTTTTCTCCCCTCTCAGCCCCAGCATAGTCTCCACCAGATTACTCTGGAATCCACCTCAGGATCACCCTTCAGTCAGATGAGGAGGAGGTGGTAGCAGCTCCTGAGGTGGGTGTGGGAGGGGCCCTCTGGCCCAGCCAGGACAAGGCGTCTGCTGTCTGCTGTTCAGGCTCTTTCTGGGCAGGCAGGGCACCGCTGCCCGCCCAGGGAGGCAGGGAAGCTACAGCACCACCCTGCTCGGGGGCACCCAGCCAGATGGCTCTGTCTCTGGGCTCAGGGTTCCGAATTTTCCCCACTGTGACCCTAACCTTCACACAGCTGCCTTCCTGAGCAGACATCTCTGGAGCTCTGTGCTCAGCAATTAGATCTTCATCTGGCTACTCTCCGCCTGGTATCTGTTCTTCCACTGCAAGAGATAACGCTCTTTGTAAACCACTTAGCCAGTAACTCTGTGCTAATGGCCTTCAGCCCATCATCCCTTGTCCAGGCATCCAACCCACTCTTTACAGGCACTCTCCCCTCCAGATCTTGAAAATGCCTGCACTGTCTCACCTGGTGGCCTAGTGGGTTACGCATTGGGCTGCTAGCTAAGGGGTCAGCAGTTCATCTCCACCAGCTGCTCTGTGTGTTAACGAGGAGACTTTCTACTACCTTAAAGAGTTACACTCTTGGAAGCCCACAGGGGCAGTTCTACCCTGTAGATAGGGTCACTCGGTCAGCATTGACAACAGCAGTGAGCTTGGTTTGGGGTGGGGTGTTTTTTTCCGGTCACACCTGCATGCAATATCTGCAATCACATTCCTCCCCAGCCCCAGCCCCTCCCCCTCAAAAGCCCCAGGTCACTACAGAGAGGCGGTGCTGCTCACCTGTCAGGTAGAAGGCATCCTCCTACTCCTTCCCTGAGATAACCCAAATCCCCATCCCCATTAGACCAGTTTCTAATACCCATCGCCATGGCTACTCAGCACTCACAGACAAAACTCATGATGAAAGGGTTCATTAAAGAAGTTGACACGTTGTGACGCCAGTGAAAAATGCCCAAGCTTGAGTTGTGTATCAGGACACGTTACCAAGTTCTGTCAGATCTGCTAATAAATGCCCCAAGGGTAGACCACTCTGCTACGAGCCTCAACTCCAAGTTCTGTGGGTCAGCAAACTCAACTCCCTGAATTAAGTGCCCAAAGGCACCCCACTCCAGTAAGCCTCAGACCAAAGGCACTCAACTCCACTTCTGTAGGTTAGCAAGTCCAACTCCCCCAATTCAGTGCCTAGAGGTAGCCCACTCCACAAGCCAGCTGCCTGCCCAAAGACCTCAGCTTTACTGGCTCCGTGGGTCAGAAGTCCCTCACCCTGTCCCATGCTCTGGCTGCTGATTCTGCTACTACTTCTCTGATGGCACAGCTGTCCTCTGGATCCAGGCGGTTCACTGTGCAGGAATCTTGGGTCCAGAGGAAGCGCCCCACTCCCCGCTTCTTGCTGGTAATGAGATTCCTCCTCCTGCTTCTCAGTGAGTTTATTTTATACACAGCAGGATGGCACGCCAGGGAATCCTGTTGGCAATTATTCACAGGTGAATCCTATAGGTATCTTCCCCCACCTCCTTACCAGACCCATGCAGGGAAAGGTCATTTTGGTGGGAGTTTGAGGCTACATAGAAGCGGCACATGAAATAATTTACTGCCCCTGCTAAGTGCTCTGGGCTAGTCCCTGCGCTGTGCACCTTGGCCCCTGGATTAGTTTCTTAGAGCTAGCATCACAAAGTACCAAAAGTGGTTCTTAGAACAGAAACTTACCACCCCCACAGGTCCAGAGCCTAGGAGCCCAAATTCAAGGTGCTGGCAGAACCATGCTCCCAGAAGTCTCCAGGGGAGCTCTCCCTCAGCCTCCGGTATCCCCAGTGTTTCCTTAGCTTGTAGATGCATCCTTGCGGTCTCCGCCATCTCCATGGTCACCTGATCGCCTTCCCACTGTGGTTCTGTCTCCCCGTCTTCTCTTATAAGGACACCGCCCATCCAGGATTAGAGCCCATCCTGCTGCAGTCACCGGTGGCACACATGCTTAAGGCCTCAGCTACTAATTAACCGGAAGGCTGACCAAGGGAACCCATCCCCAGGTGCGTAGGAAAAAAGGCCTGACAAGCCAAGATGTCTGAACCATTACAGCTGTGACAGACAGCCCCCAGGAGCGCAGTTCTACTCTGCCGCGGAGACGGCTGCTACGAGTCAGAATCCACCCAATGGCAAGGGTGGGTTTTCTCTCTTATTCTTTCCCGTTTTCTGCCACCCCAGGACCTCATTCTAACATAAGACAACCTCAGTGATTCCATTTCCAAACAAGGTCCCCTGCGTAGGTACTGGAGGTTGTGCGGTGCCACGCCTTCTTGGGGACCCGGTTAAAATCAAGAACTCTGGAAGGGAAGCAAGCCAAACAAAATAAACCTGGCAAGTCCACGGAGCAGGGCAATCAGTGCACATCCGAGTGGGGACACGTTCGGATGGGGAGGAGATAGGGGCCAGGCCAGGTGAGGAGGATCAGGCTAGGTGGGCAAAGGTGAGGTGGAGCTGACGGTCCTGGGAACTAGCTCCTGAGCCACCTGCAGGAGAGACTGGGAGGTGGTGCTGGAGTCTGAGAAGTCCCCTCCAGGAGGCCCAGACCCAAGTCACTGACACCCACCCACATCTTGGTGGGGAAAACACCACGGAATTGCGCCCAACTTTCCGGAGGAGAATCCCTGGTTTAGAGGCTCCGTGGACATCGTCGGGCCTGTGGAGTCGACGTGACCCCGACTCATCTATGCCTTGTGCTCTCTCCTCTGCCGTGACCCCAAGGCGGCCCAGGCTTGGCTGCAGAGGACCAAGCATGCAGGGGACCTGTGGCCTCTGCCTCCCTGGCCAGGCCACTAACAGGGGCCATGCGAGGCCGAGGCCTCCTGGGTCTGACCCTGGGCAGAAGCTCCTTTGGAGTGGAAGGGGCTTGCCCTCAGGGAGAGGGCAGAGGGCGCCCCCACAGGCTCGTCCCCTCACAGCCACCACCCCCACCCCCGGGAGGACGCCCCACACCCCTGCCTCCTTCCAAGGGGGCCCCGCCCTTGGACCCAGCACAGGCTCAGGCTAGACGGTCCAGGAGATGCAGGCTGGGCAAGAAGGCGAGGAGACCCGGGCCTTAGGACTGGGGTGATCCTGGACAGCACCCTCCCATCCCCCACCGCCGTGGGCAAGACGGGCCAGCGGGCCAGCACCCGTGACGGCCCCGAGCGGCTCCCCCGCAGCCCTGGCCCCATCCCAGCGCCCGGCTGGACCGCAGATGCCGGGTGCCCGC